TGTCATAGGCTCAAAGATCGATATTCTGCAACGACCAAGGCAATGCAAGAGATCAATGCCCTTTGCCGTATTGGATTGACCGGAACAGCCATACAAAATCGCTACGAGGAACTCTGGACTCTGCTTGATTGGACCAACCCTGGGCATTTTGGGACATCAGCAGAATGGGCGCGAACAATTACTAAACCACTGACGGTTGGGCAATCTCATGATGCAACCATGGCGCAGCTTAGCTTGGCAAGACAGACAGCTCAGAAACTTGTCCAAAACCTTCTTCCCCGCTACTTCTTACGGCGTATGAAGACCCTCATCGCTCATCAGTTGCCTAAGAAGACAGACAGGGTCGTATTTTGTCCTCTTACTGATCTTCAGAAAGAGGCCTACGAGAACTTTCTGCACAGTGACGAGATCGACATACTTCGTACATTGTCTGATACATGTGAGCACGATAAGGCAAAGGGGTGGTGCTGCGGTCGCTTCTTGCCAGGCGGGACTCCGTGGCAGAACATCGTGTTTCCCAGCATGATTGTTTTACAAAAGCTCGCCAACCATCTTACACTAATGGTTCCAAACACAACCGACATTGACACAAAACACAAAACAGAGCTAAAGACTCTTCAAACATGCGTCCCTGATATTTGGAAAGAACTCTACAATAATAGAGATCAAATTCGAAGCCTGGTCAACCCTGAATTTTGTGGCAAATGGAAGGTTTTGAAGAAGCTTCTGAAGTTCTGGCATAGTAACCAGGACAAAGTGCTTGTGTTCTCGCACAGCGTTCGGCTTCTTCGGATCCTCCAGCACCTATTTACTAGTACCAGCTATACAGTCAGCTACCTAGATGGGTCGCTAAGCTACGAGGCGCGGCAGGAGACTGTGGATAACTTCAATTCTGATCCGAATCAGTTCGTGTTTCTCATTTCGACGAAGGCAGGGGGTGTGGGTTTAAACATCACCTCAGCAAATAAAGTGGTGATTATAGATCCTCACTGGAACCCCTCTTACGATCTTCAAGCGCAAGACAGAGCCTACCGTATCGGCCAGACTCGCGATGTTGAAGTCTTCAGACTCATTTCCTTGGGTACTGTAGAAGAAATTGTCTATGCTCGGCAGATCTACAAGCAGCAGCAAGCCAATATTGGTTACACCGCATCCTCAGAGCGTCGCTATTTCAAAGGCGTACAAGAAGATACAGAGAGAAAGGGGGAGATTTTTGGTCTCAGCAACATATTTACCTTTCATGATGATAGTGGCCTTCTTCGTGAGATTGTCAACAAGACCAATATTGCCGAAACAAAGGCTGGTGTTCACCTCGTCGATGTTGATATGGATAAGGCAGCAGAAGAAGGCGAGGCTTTGGGCGTGAAAAAGGAAGAGAATGAGGAAGATGGCGAAGACGGCGGGCTAAGCCAGCTTGCGGAACTTCTCAAGGTTAAAGACCAGCAGAAACTGCTAGCATCGCGCAAAGCTACTTCACACAAGACAGATGCTGTTCAGGGGATTCTCAAATCCGCGGGGATTGAGTACACTCACGATAACTCGGAAGTTGTTGGATCATCAAAAATTGAAGAGCAGCTTTCAAGGCGGGCAGCAATGACTTCGTATGCTGAAGGGGACCTCGAAGGCCAGAGTACACTCTTTGCCGACAGTGGTGAGGAGACGGACGGTGAGCTTCTTCATGGCACATATAATCCCCCGGGCGAAGTGCAACTGCGGCAGTTTTGCGAGATGGCACGCGAGTTTGGCTTCATCAACGCCACCGAGTTTGCTTTGGTTGTGGAAGGTTGGTCACAAGAATCGAGAAGAAACTGCCTGAACACTTTTTACCGAAAGAGAAGGGCCAAGTTAATCAACGAAGGGTTCGTGAGGAAGGAAGAGGAACCTCTTGAAGGCGGCACTAAGAGTAGCGATGTTGACTCGAAACGGCACATTGATAGTACACCAGCAAAGGTCGAGACTCCTACTAGGGTCAAAACGGAGCAATTCTCAGTGAAACAGGAGTCGGCTCGTTCCAACCCGGCCAAGCAGGAAGACGTTGGTGTGAAGAATGAGGTCGATGACCAGGATTTCAATCTTGACGGAGCAAAGAAAAGGATGTCCATATTCTTATCTGACGATGATGAGGATGATGAACTATGAGACGATGCATTATGGAGTTCAAAATGGCATGATACCCCAGGGCTATATTTTTTTTCTGAATACCGCTTTTACAAGAGGGTGTTCATAATTGACATTAATGTGTAAGAATAAAATATGTACCTCGTAAAAAAGGAAGAAAAATTCTCAGAACTCTTTCGCTGCTTCTCAATATTCTTTTGCTTAGTTGCCGGCCAATGCGATGAGTGTTTGAGTGCTTGGAGGAGACGATCCATTAAAGAACCATAAATGTTCTGCCACGTGATCCATAATTTTGTTCCAGGTAACAGCTCTACTTCCTGCTCGCCATGCGCGAAGCGGTAATTTGAAGGCAAAGTGCCAACCAACGCGGTAACAAACCTCGAAAATCATGTCTTCCACGAAGGGTCAATTGGCTTCGGCCGTTGATACCAAGATCAAGGCGCCCGTCCAACCCATCAGCATTCTCGACACTCCCGCCGCTTCCGCGATCTCGCTCGCCCGACCCGTTGCTCTCGTCGGGCTTCTCGCGTTACGATTTAATGCCCTGATCAGTGATCCCGTTTCTACATTGCAGACTGCTCTCCCTGTTGTTGCTGCCATACAAGTCGGCTATGCTCTGCTGTGTCTTCCCGCGTTAGGGTCACATCACGTCAAGGGCGCAAGGAAGAATCGCCCGGGTGAACGAAAGAAGGCATCGGACGCTTCAGGTCCCAATCCCATCTTTGTGAGATGCTTCCTCCCCAAGTCAGGGATCAGAATGGTCCATAATAGATCTGCTAACCAAATGGCTTTTCCCACCATTCTAGACCGCGATTTTCGCACTGCTTCTCAGCACGATCTCCAGCGGGGCCGTCTACGGGCTTTTTATTCTATTCGGAGCGCCCTTCCTCGACAATACATATCATACTCTATACTGCGCTGCGCATTTCTCCCTTCTCACCCTCTTTCCTGTCTTCTATGTCCGCGGTGTGGATGGGCAGGCTTTTGTTGCGCTGGCTGGAGCTTATGCGCCTCTGGATGAAACGTCTGGCGGGCTTTTGGGCGCCCTGCTCGGCGCATGGCTTGGCGCTGTGCCCATCCCCCTCGATTGGGACCGGGAGTGGCAGAAATGGCCCGTTACCATTGTTGTTGGCATGTATCTTGGATACGGGATCGGATCGAAGCTGGCCGGTACTGTCTTCTACGGCAAGCAGCTGTCTGTGACACAGCAGCCCGAGAGCGAAGAATAAATTCAGTCACCGAGACCCAGCCTCGCTTAATACCATGTCAGGCACTTCCCATGTACAATCAACAGGTTGGCTTTGCGTCACCAACATCCACAAACCGAGGGTCGCTAAATGCTTAATGCATCGCGATGTGGAGCAGCATCATGCAGATAGACATTAAAAAAAAATTAACCCTGTACCACAATGGGCACTGTTCACAATGCGAGGGGCAATCATGCCAGGGCCAGCCGTTGTTCCAGCATTGCCAAGACTGAGCGTACGCGTCGCCGCTTGGCTTGGTCATTTGGTCCACCCCAAAAATCGGTGATGCATCAGCGGTGACTGATGGATCAAGTAGCCAACCGCGAGAAGCGAGCCCCCAGCCATTTGATATTACGAAACTGAGCGTAGGCAGATGCTTAGCCGCCAACATGGCGAATGCCAAGCATCTGACAGGAGCCCAATCCCTTCAATTGGCTATTGCATGGAAGGGGTGGGAATGTTTGAAGTAGCATGTTCCGATCACCTGGCATGCGGGAACGGGAAAAGGCCATTCAGCGTACGCCCATAACACACATGTGCATGTTTGTGAGAGTGACGAGAGCCGCTAGCTTACCGGCCAACCACCAATGGACATTCACCACCCGCAGACACAGAGATGCTGTTAAGCTTCGCCGCAACCGGCCTTTTGGGAAGACAGTGATCTGAACTGGTGACATCTTGCAAGGCACCTCGATCGATCGGCAGCCGGTTGTTCGTAATTCACCTCCACGGTGTGGCTGGTGCAGGCGTCTAGGGCAGAGCGCTACGTCATCTGTGGCTCATGACAGCGACATCGAAGTTAGAAGTTTCCCCCAAGTGCCGAGTTGTTGCCAAATCAGGAACAATGACGCAACACTTTTTATGGGTCGCGGAACCTTTTTCACTATCAGATGACGATTCGGCATGAGCTCTGGCACGCTACCAGGGTTCTTTTCGCATCTTTACAGCAGAAGGGGGCTCGGATTCAGGCCTGCCTTCTTCCCTGTTTCTAGGAACTAATCTGCACTGCTCTTGGCCGGCGTTCGCCGCATGTACTTGCCTCCGGCCAAGCATCCTGCAGGGGGATGGGGAGATCGCGGGATTCGTAATGTAGCAGCGGGAGCAGCAATGTGGGTAATAACCCTTTTACACGCCCTGTGGCTTGACTCTGATCTTGTTTGCGCCTCCCAGGGCCTAGAAGGAGCCCAGAGTCGATGACGCATTAGCCATTATTTGCCCGTACCTGGGTACGCTTGGCTGGGTGTGAATGGATATGCGAACAGTCTCATATGCGGCAAGCGTGCTTTCTCTTCCCTGCTTTCGAGCGTGGGCCGCACGGGTTTGACAAAGTATTAAACCATCTTGCTCCGCTGTCACCTTACTCTACTTCATTCTTCCCACCATCATCAACATCGTTTCTTCGAGATCACGAACTCAAGCTTATCACAACACACACAAACATACCACTCTAGCAACCGCTTAAAATACACCGTCAACATGCCCGCCACCGCAAGGTAAGCGAACACCATCCCCGCTATCCATTTCCACTACCAGGACTGGACCCCGCCCTTCGCGAGAAGACGAATGCGCAGTTCTGGAAGCTTCAATTGGGAATATCCAGTATACCCGTGGACCGGACATGGCATGAGCTAACAGAATGCCCATAGTGATATCTGCAAGATCATCTTCGCCATCATCCTCCCCCCTCTGGGTGTCTTCCTTGAGCGAGGATGTGGTGTTGACCTGCTCATCAACATTCCTCTCACCATTCTGGGTATGTTACACTCCACTCCCATCATTGACCGTAACATCCCGAAGCTTCTAACACGCGCATACAGGATGGTTGCCCGGTCTCATTCACGCCCTCTACATCATTTTCAAGTATTAGAGCCCACGGCCCTGCCACACCCAGGGATCCGGGAGAAAAAAAATGAGCAAACGATGATCCCGAATCACCACCGCCAGTTCAGCGAACTGGACGTGATCAATGCTTTCCACGTGGTTCGGCAATGATTCATCCTAACGGCCGACATTTTTTCATTTTGTCTTACACGGCATCACGACTGGGGAATTTTTCTTTTGTTATTTCAATCATGACATTACTTCTGGGTGTTCACTTTGGGGTTGGAGGAAGGAGCTTCACGGGCTTCCAATGAGCACTTCGCAATGTTCTAGTTTCGCATTAATCAGATACCCGTCAATTCCGACCATAATTCATATCAAGACGCCGCTTTCATTGCAACAGTGAGGACACAAGTGCATCTATTCATCTAACATGATTATATCCACAAAATGTTCTTAAAAACAGCACAATGATTCACCAATAAGCTCCAAAACACCAATTCATATCCAACTAGCGTTGACATCCCATCTCATGTGTAAACCGTGACCGAACAAGGGTGCTACTCATAACAACTCGGCTTCCCCATCATCAGCAAGCTGATCCTCTTCATCCCAATCAAGATCCGCATCCAGTTCCTCAGCTCTCCGTTGAAGTTCGGTGAGGCCTGAAAGCTCAGCCACATAGTCCTTCTCTTGCAATGCCCGCTTCACAAACTCCCAGCCGTCCTTGCGATAGGCGTCAAGGATCTTGGGGCTGCAGGCACTACAGCAATCATAGGATTGGCCTCTGATAACCATGTTCTGGAACGTCGACACATAACCCCGGATTTGATGTGGAACCAGACCCAGGGGATGGTCAGGAGGGTCTCTCGGAGGCTCCGACCCGGCAGTGGGCTGCGGCGCATTCGCCTTGTTGCCCAGTGGATGCTGCAAGAGACTCGTTAGAAGCTCCACCAGGAGAGCGGACGCAATTGCCGCCACTCCAGGACGGGTGACAGTGCACTGCTGGTCAAGAGTCTGATCTTTCATGGACTGTGGAATAAGCTTGGTCAGCGCATCATGCTTCTTGGATGCCGAGTCCCCGCGGGGGAGAGTCACTTACATCACCTGGGGCTACTACATCATTGCAGAAGTAGCACCCTAAGGAAGCCGCACCCTCCTCTTCACCCTCAGCGCCGTGTCTCATGACAACATATGAGTCAAACCCAAGGGCGGCATTCATAACTATTTTCCCTGCAGCTTTGCCCATGACAGTTGGCAGCCATCGAGACTCGCGGGTGTCCATGAGCAAGAAGATGACGTCATGTGCTTGGATGAGCTCTCCGAGTCGGTCAAAGTCCTTCTTCGTCTTTTCCTCGTCAGTGTACGGATGGCCAAGCATGGGGACCGAGAGTGCGTGCCCCTCGCTTTCTACGCCAGGGTATATTCTCTTGAGCGCGGCAGCAGCTTGCGGGGCCTTGGGCTTGCCTCCATCGACACAGTCGTCAAACTCGAAGAGTGGCTGCCGGACTGGATTTGAGTAGGAGACTTTGCCATAGTCAACAAAGGTAACCTTCCGTACACCCCAGCCCAGTAAATTTCGAGATACGTAGCCGCCAAGGGTTCCTGCACCCAGGAGCAGGCATTTGGTATTTTTGATCAGTTCAAGATTCAGGTCCGGCGCCAGTCTCCATTTCATGAGCTTAAGATTCAGATCGACAGATGAATCGGCCAGCCGGGTAGGGTCCATGTAGTCCCCGAGGTTGGCTTGTTGCGCCTGCAGTTTACCATTTCTGGATCTTTCCCATCCTGTGACCTTTGGCATCTCCGAGCCGTCGATGTTTTCCTGTGGATCTGTCTCGATGGGCAGAATAACGCTTCTAGCTTCATGTCTGCGCGCCCAAATGTCCCGGTAGCACAAGATTTTAACCTTGTTCAGTCGAAAACGCTGCCTTATGAGGACCAAGAGGTTTCTCAGAGGCCAACCGGGGCCCTCGGGATATGTAGAGGGGTCGAGGAACGCCACATAGCGATCATCCTCTGGCGTGTCGTTAAAGAAGCCATTTTCGAAGTCCCTCAAAGAACCTACGTCCCAGCGATAAGGGAGTTTATATCCACCTTCGGTATCATCTGCTTCAGTCTCTTGGATCCGCACCTTCTTAGCCAGGAAGAATCCATGCTCTCGCCTGTCTACGCTATATCGCCAGGTTCCGACTCGGTCGACGAGGGCCGTACTCTCGTCGGCAGTCAGATGCTCTGATGGCCCAGAGCGTCTCCACTGGGGATCAGAATGCAGGGCTGGAAATGCAAACCAATACGTGAATTTGTATTTTTTAAGGTCGGCGTAGGAGAGGATAACGAACGAAGAAAGCAGCGAGGGTACCGAATATATGCTACCGTCATTGATGGCATCCCATATCTAGTTGCGCGTGAGCATGCCCCTTCGCAAAGGAAGTGAATTCTTGAGATATCCATACCTGTCTGCCGGCTTGCTTTATCATAGCCGACTTGTCTGTATTCTTGAACCCTTCGAGTGTATTGACATTTTTTATAATTCCTTCAGCTCGCGCGGCTCCCAGAGGAACACTGGAGAATCTGGTCAGTGGTCGGACATTTCTTGGGAGAGCAAAAGAAGCCATGCGCACTCCTGGTTCGTCAGGGCGTTACCCAGAATCTGCATCTTACAACTCGAGTCGGGGTCCTCAAGGCGGGGTTCGTACAACCCAAGGACCCCGCGGGCCGAGTCGTCGAGCTTATCATAGTCGAGCTTCGAGGCGAATAGGGCGGAATAAAACGGAAGTTCGATCTCCGAGGAGAATGTAGCGAACTGTAGCGGCGCGGCCATTTTCGATGCGTGCGCAGAGGGTATCCCTCTATAGGTAGTCGTGAGAGATGCAACTAGTGAAACGGCGGATGGGTTAGGATTATACGTGAATTATGTCGCGAGAACACGGTGCCCTCCTCACAGGAAGAGGGAGTGAGTCAATGAAAGAAACGTGAAAAGTTCAACCACGTCTTGGGCGTATCATCTGATCCCAGGGAAGCAAGACCAGCTGGTCCGTCAGTCCGGTGGTAGGATGTAGCTTTGCCGTCGTCCCCCATGTCAGGTGCTGCCTTGAGGTCAGTAGGTACAGCAGGTGTAAGGCAGCCTAGATGGAGCTGTAATCGCTGAGGTAGAATGCTCTGGTACTTCGACTAGGCTTGTCTATGCCATCATTGTACTAGGGTCATCGCCGCTCTTTCTCAAGCCCCGGCCATCAAGCCGCGGGGCACGCGGACAGAGTACTCGACTTGCGCTAAATTCAAAAGCGGCACTGTTTAGTCACCTTCTGAAACTCGGACGGGATTACCCAGGCCCACGGCTGACTGACTCGTACTACCCCGCAGACGTCACCACCAACACAAGGCAGACCAATGCCAGTGGAGGTTTCTCAGGGCTTCTCTCAAGGCTGGCCTTTTGTCATCGCAACCTCCATGGACAACTGCTGGCCTAGACTCTCGTGCAACGCATTTTCGAGAGCCAGCACAACAAGAAACCTGCGAACAAAATCCGGTTGGCTCTACTACATAACTTACCTACATTTAGACAATTACTAAATTTAAAAGATGCCCTTCAGATCCACATGTTGGCATGGATCTCGTTCGAGTTGACGCTTCCAAATGGATGATTTGCGGCATTGTCCCATGTTCTCCGTTTTGACCCCCAAGCAATTCCTTTGAGAAATCCGAGCGCCTAAAATGCAAGTTCCGACTCTCCTAATTGGCTCAACAAGCCCTGCATGAATCTGCAGCACCATCTGCCGGGTTTCCGACCAATGAAAACCATATTCATGATGGATGGTGCATATGCTGTTGGTTCTATAATATGCCTTCAACTCTCGCGTAATGGATAATTTTGAATGCCTCAGGTGATATAGAAGTAGTTCATAAATATGGCCCTAGAGCCCACCTCACAGGCCATTGGCCTTAGTGTCAGCCTCATCGCAAAGAGGCAGCATTAGGTTGTTTCCCAACCGTTCCTTTCACGTAGCAGTCGTTCGTGCGAACGTGATATATTCCCAGGGCCATCATATCTCTCTTGAATCCCAATCAAGCCCCAGCAGATCCTACTATCGGCTATAATGATGATACTTCATCAGACGCACAACGCAGGATGTAAGCGTCCACCCCAACAACGCTCTGAACAACACTCACTCAAGCGAGTCGGTCAGCAATATTGGATCAGAAAAGAACCAAAGCTCGATCGATGCCACAAGTTGGCGCCCTTTCTAGTTAGGTAATATCAGATTAGCCTGCTTCGGACTCTCGTTTCTCTGCTGGACAGTTGCTCTTCTATCATGTTGCACTACTCTGAGCTCAACCATAGGCTCTTCACAACTCGGGAAGATCTTGCCTATTTATAGAGATTTTTTCCAACAGCCAGTGAGTTCAAGAAACTACTCCTTCATACCGCATAACAAATCTTAACGAGAGGCCCTAATAGTTTCCACTGTCCTTGCAATACTCTAGTCGCGCATGGAGCTACAAGCCTTGTCATACATGCTTTGGGTATCTCTTTCTTCCAGGCAACCGATTAGTCCCGAGGGGCACCGGCAGGATCATGCGCCGATGATCGTCCCAACTGCTCTGGTTCAATATATTCGGAGGAGACATTAATACGGATTTCTTGTTACCTTGCTATCAATGATCTTGAAAATTCCAACTGTCCTACCCGCCGCACTTTTCTTCAATCTTGGAGGATGAGAAGGGGATTCTCCCGGTTAAAATGAAAGTTTTGGATTCTTTCAATACGACATCCGACCGAGCAACCAATGCGAGCTCAGGCGCATATTACAGTGCTCTCGCCATCCGGGGCACAGGCATGGAGATTCCTTTTGGTGATGGGCCAGACTGCGCCCACCAGACCTTTAACCGCCGAGACCATGACGACTACTCTCGGGGTACCATTGATGAACTTTTAGAAGCCATTGTTGATAGCGTCTTCATGGACATCAAGTGCCTCAAGTTAGAGAACTGGAGTGCTACCCGGAAGCCCACCGACATGCCATCATACTATAACGGGAAGAATACCATAGGATTGTTTGTTTACAATTTACAATCAATCTTCAGTTCGAAAATTGCGATCAATCCATCACCGTCATAGATTGGGGACTTCAACTGTGGGTGATTCTTCTGGGGATCTGATTCCTAGCGCCCAACAGACAAACGTAACATCAATATGACCAGTGGTTGCCGAACGATCTCGAAATCCCTTTGTGTTCCTCATTGCCACAACCGAACCCTCAGACTCTTTATTATGCGACGCATTACGGAGCATCCTCACCGAACAGTTCAGAACCAGAAATGGATGCTGTAGTAAGTGTTATCTGTTTCCCGACAGCATGGGTCTCAAAAGTCCAAGTTGTAGACGATGGCGTTAGCCCAAATGTCACAGCAGACTTCAATGCTTGGGCATTGTTAGAGAACTCGACATCTTCCACAGACCAAGTTTAGTTTGCTAGTTACACCGGTGTTAGGGCAAATAATCAATACATCAATACACAAGCTCGGGCCCAGCCAGAGCAGACTTCCTTTTTCCAGGAGAAGAAAATCAGTCGACCATTGGGATCGTAACCCAGCTCTACTACACAGTGACCTATTGAGCCAATCTATAAAGGACCTTATCAAGGCTCTGGGCCCTTTGCTTGCTCGTTAACAACTGCGCCAGAGCGAAGAGAGTATGTTTAGTGCAAATGCTACTCAGGTGTTGCAGAAAGTCAAAATCGGTCAGGCTATATGTATATCCATGGCGTCACTATTTGGTCTCTCACTATGCATAGCTCTCTGGGAACTACTCAAATCAAATAGAGTATTCAAAGGCTAGTTTATGAACCCTTCAATGGTGCGAGGATCATGCATTTCTCTCAATGATAAGGTCAATTTTGTGTCATTATTACGAAACCAGGAGAATCATATAGCAGCTTGGATCGATAGCAATGACTCATCCCTGGTCTTCAAGTTATGGTTCGGCTTGATATTACATTATACGTTCTCGCTCTCATTGTTGGTCTCATCGTCACGCTTAAACTATCACAGGCAACCGATGGCCTGGTAACCATCTCCTAAGAGAGTGACCTCTTCGTCTGGTGGAAGATCGTTCTGGCATTTGCTATGATTCTAGTTACGTTGTGCATCAGCTTTTCTAGCTTTTCCGTTCGCGAAATACCTAAACTTTCGGACCTTTCTGCGAGACTCTGCCGCAAGGAAGAATTGGACACTTCCTTCTGGAAATCTCCGGTGTTGGAGCATTCAAGAATGACACAGACGAGTACAAGCAAAATCGCAAAACGGCCGCTACTATGTTCTGTAATTTCTCCAAATGGCACGAATCAGACTTACTCGCCCTTTACCTACGACGAATTCCTTTTCCCCAGGCTCGGAGCAGATCTGTTGAATAAAGACTAGGTTTCTAGAAAGATAGTCAAAGTGGTCACTCCCGCCACCAAACTAGTTTCCGCCTGCGCGGCGATCCCCGATAATGAATATACCCTCAACTTAGGTAGGTAGGTATACAACAACCAAACATCACGAGTTGCGTTACTATAGCGTAGACCCCTAAACAAGTCGACTCGTGAATTCAGCCATGGAGCCCAGGATTTCCAGTTATCGACACCGTAGCGGGAGACATCATCGCTTTTCCACTCTCCCGATATTTTTAGCGAAAGGGTTCTGGTGCCGCCTTTTGGTTCGCTACCTAAATAGATATTGAGGCGCTCGGTGACCGAGGTCGGGAACATGAGATACTGGAACGGTTGCAGTCAAATGTCGGTCTTGTCAATGCGCAGGTCTCAAATTCAAGAATCGCTCGGATATTGACGAGTCGATCATGACACCTTTCGAGCATAGGGACGCACAGCTCGTCAATATTACCATCGCCGATGACCAGCAGATAATACACAATTTATGAAGAGATTCGGCAGAACTGGTCATATCGTTTACCTACTAATTTTTGTGGTAACCAATATCAGTCAAAGGCTATCAAGCCTAGAACAGCGTTTTAGTGTGATGTTTCATTCAACCATTCGTTCTTATTGGGTTTACCTCTTGCAGCCGTCGACTGATTGATACCATTTCCTCATTGGTCCACACACAGCGACAGCCCGCACCACCAATATGTATGGATCTTTCGACGTTCTTATGGGCATTGACTGCTGTGTCTTACCTGACTCGCATCAAGAGCCCGGGTGTCGTATCGCATGAAGCAGAATGGTGCCCCATCAGCTTATTCTGCTTTGAAGAGCCTGCAGGCCGGTTCAAGCACATTCCTGATCTTGATTTTATTTGCGTGAGCCCGTGTCAAATCCAGTGCCGAAGCAGCCAATACCGCCCCCTGGAACCCTTGCAGGAGGGGAGCACCCTTCTCAATTTAAGCGCCCAGCAAGCCATCTCCACCCAGCCTCAACCAATGGACGGCTCTGTTGGTGGAGGACATGCTAATTTTAGAGGCAACCCCCCAGCCATTGTCTAAAACGAGAGAGATGGGGGGAACAAAGAGATAGTTCGGGATAGTCACCGGCATCGAGGGAGGTGGTACGGCGGGCTGGGTCGCACTACGCGAACCGTCGGTGGGCAGACGGACGAGAGGTTGTGGCGTGGTATATCCAGAATAGTCAATGCCATGTGTGCCACTGGCAGGAAAATAAAGTCATCATGGCGAACGGGTTGGTCGCCTGCTGCCTACATACACCCATGGATCCGTCACCTACATGCATAGATGGTACCCTAGATTTAGCAGCCTCGCTCCAAATACGCCGGTGGCAGGCCTGCGATGCTGGACGATAGTGGAGGGTGGGGTGTCTCCTTCTGGACGATCACGCCTGTCGATACCACCTACTGCCCGAAATGCCTGCTGTGTGCCTGCCATCGCTGTCTCCCGCCGCCCCTCACGCCTCTCCTGCCCGCCTTCTCCATCGCCGGTGGACGCTCAGGGACGGCTGCTCTGGATGCTACCCGCATGCCGCTCTATGCAGACATACCAGACTCCATCAGGCCATCTCAATCCTTGTCTGTTCTATGTATGTCCTCCTGCAGCCTGCCCCCAACAGCTAGGCCCACCCCAGTCCAGGCCGAACGCCCACTGCAAGGCGTGTACATCTACCATCCTCTCCCGCTCCCCTCCTCCATTCGTTGCATCCAACGCCGCCAGACGTCCGTGTCTGCTGTTGCATAGGCGTAGACCGACGACTAATGTTTCACGTCCTGCTGCCTTGCCTATCGGCATTGTCTGGATCGCGCCGTTGCTGTCTCTTCTAGATTGGGTTTCTGGGTAGCATTCATCCACCACTTGCGCCTGTTGGTGATCGGGTCTTGGTTCTGCACCATTGCCATTGTCAGTCCCGGATCGCGACACTCGGTTGTCACCCTCCATTTCGCCTCCATCGCCAGAGTGCTTCGATGTCCTAGGTTTGTGCCGACGGTTCACATGGCCCAGTCATAGCTGGCACCAACGGCTCGACATTGACGCCCGTATTTGAGAACAGGCCCACCGTCTGCAGTCCCCGACTCCTACTCTGGTCGTATCTCGCCTTGGATTACATCGTCGACGAACCGCGACAATTTTCACTGGTTGGTCCCCGTCGCCTTTCCTCCCGAGTGCTGGTCCGTGGAATCGGAGTCAATCCATCATGTCCTCCTCTCGAGATCCAGCGAGTCTCCGGCTCGGCCTCAATCCTCTCACCACATCAATAACACTCTTCCATTCTCAACAGGGTACGCCTATTTCTGCGGTCTCAATGGCATCCTCAAACACCCAAGTGGCTCAAACACCGGTCAGCGCCATCCAACCATACAACCCTCAAGAATGGGTCACATCGCGGGCGCCTCGCCAACAAACTGGTGCTGAGCCACAAGGTACCAAGCTTTTTTCCCCATGCGTTTCTCCATTGCCATAACGTAGCGCTCGAGATTTATACAGCAAGCTAACCCATTGACAGCATCTCCGCCTCCTCCGCCATACAGTCCTCCCAGGAGCCAGCAACCACGGCCAATGAGCTCAGCATTTGACCAACATCAACCTGCGCCAGTCTCAACACCGCCTGTTCCTCGCCTGCCGCACCCCCATCTTTACCACTCGTCTCCCGAGCCAGCCGCCAATGTTTCGTTCCCACCTCCTCCAGGGTCCGGGGGACGAGGACCCTCACGAGACCGACGCTTTGGTCTCCCATCACTCAGTAGAAGAAGAGAAACCGAACCACAACCAAGCACACCCGAGCCTAGACCACGCGTTGCGACAGCAAGACAGAGCATGGGGCCAACGATTTTCCAGAGCCCAGGGTCTATACGCCCTAGCCTAACTCTCGACATGTCCCACCCTCCTGCTGCTCGGAGAGCAATGTCGGCTGGCGCTGTCGAGACTCCCACTTCCGCACGCTCGAGATCAGGCTCACAGACGAGATGGGAGTGGCCAGCAGGAGTCCCTCCACCACCTCCAGGGCCGCCACCACCTGGCTCTAGGTCACATAGTGTCCAGCCGGTAGAGAGGACAACTGTGCCTTTAATGTCACCACCCACACGCCGACCGCCCCCAAGCAGCGGATCGTCACTGGACCCAGTTCCGCCAACGCCTGCGAACTGGGTTGACGAGAGTAACCAACCACCTCGCTCGGATAGCGTTCAGTCTCGCTCTCTCCGAATAGACACAGAGATAGCGCAGCAGTCAGACCAAGTTCCAGAGCCGCTGCAGTCTTCAGGAAGTGCGAGTGGGTTGAACCGAGCCGGTGCGGTGCGTCACGATAAGACGATTATTCAAAGGCGGACAGAGAGTCGGACTCGGCAGGGAAGCCACGGCTCCATCGACGAGGGAACGAATCCTCATAACATATCAAATATCGTCGTACCCAGTGGTTCCAGTAATGCGCCTCGTCCTCTGACAACACCTCGGAGTGCAAGCGGTGGAGGACCTCAGACAGGAGAATCAAGCGCTCGGCCTGGATCTAATACTTCCACCCCCAATGTGCGCTCTGGCAAGTTGCCGATGTTGAACACATCGATCGCCCCCTTTACTCCGTCAAGACTTGGTCATCAAGCGACAGGCTCACAATCCGTCGTGCCCAAAGCACTTCCAACTCCCCCTCCTCACGGACAGTCAGCATCAAGTGCCAATGCACGAGAAAGCTCCCGGCCTCCTGCAGGTTCTCAGACACCCTCGATAAAAGATGCCGTGAGGACACAGAGTGCTGACCAATTTGCGGCCGGCACCATTGAGCGATTCCAAGCCTTTGCAGCCAGCGAATCGGCCGCCGCTTCGGACGCTGACCGCGTTCGCTTGTTCGCCGACTTTATTGTAAACGAATCCCGCATTCGCCGAGAACGATATTCATCAGCAATCGGGGCAATGGGCTCCGAGATTTTTGATCTTACTCGGGATCTATTTAGGCCAATGGTAGCTCCAAGGCGTGAGTCTGTGACATCTCAAGATGGTGGTAATCCAAATATCGCAGGTCCCCCGCGCTCCAGGGCGAGTTCTCTCCAATCCAACCCACCGGCAGAGAGCGGCCCGAGTTCTGCCCCAGCTTCGGGCCGGCTGCCACCATCGCCGAGTGCTGGTGCGCAAGGCGGAGCGAACTACAACTCCAACTACATGCCATCGCTTTCACCTATTCTAAGTATGAGTGTTAGTGACAACTATGGTGATGGGAGCTCTCGGGGACGTCCATCGAGCCGTTGGTGGGAGACAGATTCACATGGCGATGGTTCGAAACCGGTGGAAAGATCCAAGCGAGAGTCCAAATATATGGGTGTTCCCAAAACCCAGTGGGCAGAAGTTGAAATGAACGCAAGCACACAGGGAACCTTGAGCGAGCAAGGATCAACCGTCGACTACCCACAAGAGAAGACCGGTTGGCATGATCAGTACGAGGACAGTGTGTGTACGCCGCAGCCCTCACGCTTCCCGCTCTCGCCTGGGCAAACTGCATCAACCCCTTCGCCCGCTCCTGGCGGTCGAGGATTTCTAGATGTGTCAAGGCTTGTAACTTTGCCCCCTCCTTACCCCCGACATCATCCAGCAGTGAATAATAGTCACCCAGAGCTCAGCGCAACGAGGACGGACGTGCGCGCTCTGAGCGACCTGTCGGAGATAAGTAAGGTGAAGGAGAAGTTCAAAGCTGACAGCACGAAGCGACGAGAAGATTTCACAAAGGAGTCCACCGAGCGCCACCAATCACTCAGAGCAAATCTTCACCAGGAAATCAGCTCTGGTAACATGGGATATGCGGACGCGGCAGCTATTGAGGCCGACTTAAAATCGCATGAGGACAGCAAGAAGAAGGATTTGGAGAAGGTGGAATATGAACAATTCCAGAATGTTGTCATAATGCCTTTAAATGACCTTCTGACAGGCAGAATTTCTCGAGCCACTGAACTCTACGCTTCCTTGTCTGAGCACCTGTTCGACGACGGACAGATGGATGCCGATATGCCCCAGGAAGAAGGCGATGACCGACCCGAACTTCTTGAGAAATTGACCCTACTGAAGTGGATATTTGAAGCACGAGAAACACTTCACCGAGCTATATTCGATATCTTATCTGATCGAAATGGGCGTTACCGTGATGTGATTATCACGCCTTACCGGCTTTCTGGAAACACAGAGAAACTAAAGAGTGCAGAGGCTTTCTTTGCTGAAGATGCTGCGAACAGAGAGTTGGCCTATGCCAATGAGGTTCTCGACCGCGCAAGAGATTTCCGTCAGGTCGTTGACGAAGCCGTGCACAAGGGCATTGCTCTACAGCTGTCTGCATTCTGGGACATTGCCCCTCCTCTCTCTCGGCTGCTCGAGAGTATCCCAACTGAGCTGGATGGCTTCAACATACAAATTCCCGCCTCTGAGTATGAGGAAAACCCTGCCTATCGCGATCATCCAATGCAGTACCTCCTAAGTTTACTTCTCCATACAGAGAAAAGTACATACCAGTTCATTGAGGCCCACACTAATCTCTTGTGCCTCTTGCATGAAGCAAAGGAAGCCGTGGCAAATGCCAAGGCCAAGATCCTCACCACACAAATCAAGGAAGCAGATGGAACGCCAATTAGCCCTGAGCAAAGAGAGGAGAGGGCAAGAGCCATGCGCCAAGGCGAAGATCGGCGCTTGACGGAAGACCTCAAAGAAAAGGTCCGTGTTGTGCAGGACCAGTGGAGTAATGCTCTTGCACAGAGCATTGCCAGTGTCAAGGAGAGAATTGCAGGGTGGCTTTTGGAAACCGGCGGGTGGGATGACTCCCTCGTTGAGGGGTGACCGCGTCACGGTAGGAAACTAAGAAGAGCTCAGGAAGCGCAAGCATAAACTCATTTTGGGAAAGTGAATACCCCGAGAGATATAGGCGAGCTTTTTTCTTTTCTTTTTCGCATTTATATTGGCTCATTCGCCCCGGCGGCTTCTGACAATGATACCCGCTCGAGCATCGGAGCTGCCGAGCATTCTGTCATTTCTGTTTGCATTTATCCTGAGTTTTCGGACAATTTTCATATAGAGCGGTGCATTATACGACTTTCAGGATATTCCACGGTGGTAAATCATATGCATTTCTATTAATTCCTATTAATACATTTTCCTCGCATACAATTCATATCACTGGTTCTCGTCAATTTCCACCAGGATAAGTTCGTAATCCCAGAGTCGATACACGGGTATTCCACATTTGAAAGGATATAATACACTCCTGGTCAGTGCCTTTCTCGTAACCAAGGAGTCGCTCCAAGTTTCTTTATTGATCAATCGCGATCCGTCGTTTTGTCGTACATTTGTCGTTTTAACATCGAATGCCATAAGAGCGAGTTTGCTTTTTTTTCTTCATCTCTCCATCGAGGCCATTCAAAGGCCAAACCATATTTTTTATAGCGGACAGCGGTGAGGCCGTTTACTGGCTGCCCTTTTGGTATTCAACCGGCAAGTCCATGCCAACCCTCCTGGCGGTGAGGCGTATCCGCTCGTCGTCCTCCATGTTCATCCCCGGGTTGTAGCGCTCAATCAGGTCGACGTAGCAGCGCTGCGAGCGGAGGTAGGCGGCCAGCTGCTGGGCCTGGCCGGCCTTGACGGCGGCTGGGAGGGAGGAGTCGGGCTGCTGGGCGGAGAAGTGTGTCCGGAGGCGGCTGTGGATGCCCGAGCGCGGGGACTCGAGGATGGGGCGGGGGGGCAGCTCGCGGAGGAGGGAGCGGTAGATGGAGCGGATGCGCGCGGGAGAGGTTGCCATTTTGGTTGGGTGTCTTGGGATGGATCTGGTTTTGAGGCATTCGAATTGATGGGAGTTGGGAACTGCGAATTGGGGAATTGGAGTATAGGGTGGATGACTAAGCTTGGTGTTGAAGTTGCTTGGCAATGGTTGAGGTGACAACTTGAGCGAGGCATTGGCGTGTCTTCTTATTGTCAAAAACGATTCATGGGATTCTAAATATAATATATGCCTTCTTTCAACTTCTCCAACTTATAATCATGGCTAGATAGGATACATCCAGCCAGCAAGGTCAAACATGGAAGAAAAGTATATAGTCTGGCCCTGGCTGATAAGATAACCAAGTGCCCCCGCCACGGTCCGTCACCATAAACTTCAGATGCGGCGCGGCAGCACATCCAAAAGACAAGCTGGTTTCCTTGTTAGGAAAGGTAACCAACACGACAGTCACCAAGACCACGAGAGCAGTGTTCCAAATCTCGACAGTTTCTCACCCAATCGATGGCCTGATTCCTAAACCTTTACGTATACCCATACCACTCGGACACTGTGAAACCACAAGGACCCCCACCAGCTCAGCATGATTGCGCCGTTTAGCCCGACTGCCACACCGACAGCCACGTATCGGCTTGTTGCCCCGCCATGAGTTGACGTACTCCCGGAGTTGGAGATGCCAATTGCAGCCGTGAAACCAAAGTTCAACCCCAAGCTAAAAACCACCCACTTTGCTGTGCTGTGTACTACTACTAATACTAGCCTCCCTCTTCCCATGTCCCATACTTGTAGATACTTGATCGTACTCATCCTGGCCATCCTTCTCTTCCCAGTAGCTTTCGGCCCTCGCCTCTTCCTCTCCTCCCTCCCGTTCGCTTCGTTCATCACCCGCCGCACAATGTCGTCGTCCTCGCCGGCGTACAGCCAGGAGCTGTACATTGCCCAGCTCGCCGTCCAGCGGGCCTCCATCCTCACCAAGCGAGTCTTCCACGAAAAGGCCAAGGGCACCGTCGACAAGAACGACAAGTCCCCCGTGACCATCGGCGACTTTGGCGCCCAGGCCCTCATCATCGCCGCCCTCCGCCACAACTTCCCCGACGACGCCATCGTCGCGGAGGAGGAGGCCGCCCAGCTGCGAACCGACGAGAACCTGAAGAACACCATCTGGGACCTCGTGCGCTCCACCAAACTCGACGACGCCGCCTCCGAGCAGGCCCTCGGCGGCGCCATCAAGGACGCCGACGAGATGCTCGACCTCATCGACCGGGGGAACAGCCCCGGCGGCAACCAGGGCCGCATCTGGGCCATCGACCCCATCGACGGCACAAAGGGCTTCCTCCGCGGCGGCCAGTACGCCGTCTGCCTCGGCCTCATGGTCGACGGCGACGTCAAGGTCGGCGTCCTCGGCTGCCCCAACCTGCCCGTCGACGACAAGGCGCCCCTCACCGCCGACATTGGCTCCAACCAGACCGACGAGGGCCACGGCGTCCTCTTCTCCGCCGTCCTGGGTCAAGGCGCCACCAGCCGGCCCCTCACCGCCGTCGCTTCATCTGAGGGGAGGGCCATCTCCATGCGGTCCATCCCCAGCGACTCCCTCGCCGACGCCACCTTCTGCGAGAGCGTCGAGGCCGGCCACTCCGCCCACGGCGACCAGGCGAGCATCGCCCAGAAGCTCGGCATCACCAAGCCCAGCGTGCGCATGGACAGCCAGGCCAAGTACGGCTCCATCGCCCGCGGCGCCGGCGACATCTACCTGCGCCTGCCCGTCAAGGCCACCTACCAGGAGAAGATCTGGGACCACGCCGCCGGCGACCTCATCGTCCGCGAGGCCGGGGGCCAGGTCACCGACATCCACGGCAACAGGCTGGACTTCGGGATCGGCAGGACGCTGGCGAACAACAAGGGCGTCATCGCCGCGCCTGCTGCTTCCCATGCCAAGGTTCTCGCCGCTGTCCAGGAAGTGCTAAACGCTAAGCAATAGCAATCAGTTCTCTAAGTGTAAGAGAGAAAAAAAAATAAAGGAAAGAAAACGTTGAAAGGAAAAAGAAAGGGATCTTATGAGCTTGAAGTAATGAAAAAGTTTCAGCTAGTTTCTGAACGATAGGCAGGTCATATCGAACAAATTTATATATAGATTTTGTATTGGCTTTACAAAGAATCGTACACGATCCGCGCATGCATTATAGGTACATTTTACACGGCGAGGCTCGCTGCCTCCCAAACCAGCTGGCTATACCCCCCCCTCTCCCTCTCTAACTGATCTTCTTCGACTTCAGCTTGATCGTCTCGTCGTTGATGAAGATGCCCTTGCCCTTGTACGGCTCCGGCTTCCTCCACAGGCGCACCTTGCCAGCAAACGACATGATGGTCTCCCTGTCCGAGCCCTCGATCAGGATCCTCGTGGGTGCCGGCGTCGTCACCTTAACGTCCTTGGGGATGCCCACCTCGACCGGGTGGGTGAACCCCAGCTTCAGGCACAGGAACGGCTGCCCGGGATACTCCTCCTTCGCGCCTCGCTTCTCGACCGTCGCTCGGTAGCCCACGCCCACGAGCCGCAGGATGGCCGTGTGGCCTTCGGAGACACCCGTGATGTAGTTGTTCAGGTACGCCCACGACGTGCCTAGTAAAGATCTGTTAGCAATCCCGCCCACAAGTCAAATAATCCTCCTCGGGATCTCCAATCTCCGTTCATCTCTTCGTAAAACGTACCCCACATCTCCTTCTGCTTCTGAGCATTCGAATCCTGGATGCTCAGCTCAACAGTCTTGTTCTCCAAATCCTGCTTCAGGTTCACAAACTCCGGCACGTCCAGGCTCAACGACCCTATAAAACATCCAATTAGCAACCCCGAAAACACAACCACGCATCATCTCCTCCAATCTCCCCCCAATGAAAGCTCCCCACTAACCCAAAGGCCCATTGACCGTAATCGTTCTGTGCTTAGAAGGCTTCCAAGATGTGGCGCTCCCAACCGTCTTCAAATCGCTCATCAGAATCTCGACCCCGGGGGGTATGGCGAGGGGGGTCCGGCCCAGCTTCGAGCACTGTAGGGACGTCGTCGAAAACTGTCGATGGGCTGCCCCGGGCCGCTGTTGCCACGCCGGCAGGAGGAAGCTCGGCAGGGCGGTCGAGCTCGAGGCCTGTGTGGCCTTTGCCAGGAGCTTGGCCCTACTGGGGGCTATTAATGAAGCCATTGGGCTTAATGGGGCTGGAGCAATTGGATTTGACTGACGCCCTCGAGACTTCCTGCTTGAAGCTGCTGCGATGGGGACAAGGCGATGGGGTTTTTGTGCTGACTAATATTATCACGTGTTGGCAACTGCACCACGACGTGTGGACGCTCAGCCAAGTGGGTGACATTGAATTTGAGGCACTCAAACGCTACCTTATACTATTGCTTGTTACTATCAAGTCTGCGAACAGTATTACCCATTATTGAGGGCTAATGATAACTTCCAAAGAAATAATGTACTAAATTTTATTTGAAAATACAACTTTTCATGCTACTTGATTATTCTAGGCATCATAGAAAAGGGCCTTCTCACAATCACCTTTCAATTTGATGTCTCATTTATTCTGTCACCAGGTTGCCAGCGTCCAGGAATACACATACATATTGAGATTACTTTCATCATTCTCACTCATCATGGATAATACAATATTGGAACCATTAAAAATGAGTACAATAGTACTTCAATTGATATATTTCTTAAAAGTTTTTGGCCGTGCACAATTACTTTGAGAATCGCAACGCCCTTTGAATGTCATGAGGTCGAATCCTTTTTACAAGAATCACGGCACTCCGAATTGAAATTAGTTCAGGCCATGAGGTGCCTGAAGCTTGGCCAAACATTGCAGAGCTACCGAAGCAATAATAGATCAAGGGCGGATTTACTCCTCGCCCTCAATAGGACCCTCCTCCTCGTACTCATCACCCTCATCCTCATCAATACCAGCTTCCTGGTACTGCTGGTACTCAGAGACGAGATCGTTCATGTTGGACTCAGCCTCAGTGAACTCCATCTCGTCCATACCCTCACCAGTGTACCAATGCAAGAAAGCCTTGCGACGGAACATGACGGTGAACTGCTCACCGACACGCTTGAAGAGCTCCTGGATGGAGGTGGAGTTACCAATGAAGGTAGAAGACATCTTGAGGCCACGGGGAGGAATGGCGCAGAGAGCGGTCTGGATGTTGTTGGGAATCCACTCAACGAAGTAAGAGGAGTTCTTGTTCTGGACGTTGCGCATCTGGTCCTCAACCTCCTTCATGGCGACCTTACCACGGCTATTGAACATGATTAGTTTTGAGACACTCAACCAGATTTCATCGGTCATAAAACTTACAAGATGGCACAGCAGGTCAGGTAGCGACCGTTGCGGAAGTCAGAAGCAGCCATCATGTTCTTGGGGTCGAACATCTGCTGGGTGAGCTCAGGAACGCTGACAGCGCGGAAAGAGTGGGCACCACGGCTGGTCAGGGGAGCGAATCCGACCATGAAGAAGTGCAGACGAGGGAAAGGAACCATGTTGACGGCCAGCTTGCGGAGGTCAGAGTTCAGCTGACCAGGGAAACGCAGGCAAGTGGTAACACCGGACATGACGGCGGAAACCAGGTAGTTCAGGTCACCGTAGGTGGGGTTGGACAGCTTGAGGGTTCTCATGCAGATATCGTACAGAGCCTCGTTGTCGATACAGAAGGTCTCGTCGGAGTTCTCGACAAGCTGGTGAACGGAGAGAGTGGCGTTGTAAGGCTCAACGACGGTGTCGGAAACCTTGGGGGAGGGGACAACAGAGAAGGTAGCCATCATGCGGTCGGGGAACTCCTCGCGAATCTTTGAGATGAGCAGAGTACCCATACCGGCACCGGTACCACCACCGAGAGAGTGGGTGATCTGGAAACCCTGGAGGCAGTCGCAGCCCTCAGCCTCGCGACGGACGACGTCAAGAACGTTGTCGACAAGCTCAGCACCCTCAGTGTAGTGACCCTTGGCCCAGTTGTTGCCAGCACCAGACTGACCGAAAAC